GGGGTAAAACCCAGGCGTCTGGACTTCTGGTCTAGGTGCAACAGCCCAGAGTGAGGGAGTGGCCCTCTGCCTGGTGCCCTTGAAACAGGAGAAAAATGCGACCACCTCTGGGGTGGAGCCTAGTCGAGCACTGCCAACATAACCGTGTGCTGGGTGGGAGGGGGGACACAGGCAGGCTTTGGGCTGCCTGGGGGCCTGGAGCCTAGCTCTGGGCTTGTTGGGGGGTGGGGTGGGTAAAGGTGCCTGGTGCCCTCTGACCCCCTGGCCCGGTGCCCGCAGGCCCGGATGGACAGCCAGAGCGAGGCCGTGGCCATCCAGGCCATTCGCAACACCAAGGGCAACTCCCAGTGCGTGGACTGCGGGGCCCCCAGTAAGTCTGGGGAGAGGGGGCTGGGGGGGGAGGGGCCGTCCTGGGCTTCTGGGGGCTGGCGGGGTCCATGCCCACATGGATGTCTGGGGCCTGGAGGGGCGGTGGAGGCTCCCAATGGGGCTGGGAGAGTCCAGGCAGCATCTAGGGGGGCCAGGGCAGTCTCAGGGGTAGGGGGTTCAGAGGATCCGCGGGGCTGGAGCTGTCCTGGGGGGCCAGGGGCCAGGGCTGTCCCTGGGCAGGGGGTTCGGGAGGTTCAGAGAGCCCTGCCAGGCTCTCACCCCCGGCCCCCCGCGTGCCACAGACCCGACGTGGGCCAGCCTGAACCTAGGGGCCCTGATCTGCATCGAGTGCTCGGGCATCCACCGCAACCTGGGCACGCACGTGTCGCGCGTGCGCTCGCTGGACCTGGATGACTGGCCCTCGGAGCTGACGCTGGTGCTCACCACCATCGGCAACGCCACGGCCAACGGCATCTGGGAGGCACGGCCCCAGGGGCGCCGCAAGCCCACACCCGATGCCTCCCGGTGAGCTGGGGAAGGCCACGGCGAGGCAGTGGGCATGGGGCGGCTCCGGGATCCCGGCCCTCATCCCCGCGCTGTGTCCCGCAGGGAGGAGCGGGAGGCGTGGATCCGCGCCAAGTACGAGCAGCGCCTGTTTGTGGCGCCGTTGCCGGAGCCCACGGCCCCACTGGCCCCGCGGCTGCTGCAGGCGGCACAGGAGCAGGACATGGGCACTGTGCTGCTGCTCCTGGCCCACAGCACCCGTGAGCTCGTCACCGCGGGCACTGGCGACCCCGACCGGCGCTCGGCCCTGCACGTGGCCTGCGACCTCGCCCACGTCGTCATCACCCAACTCCTCGTCTGGGTACGGCTGTAGTGGTCATGGGGGGGGGCCGGGGGGGTGTGATCGTGCCTGTGTGCCCCTGTGGCGGGGGCTGGGGGCTGGCATCACAGCCCTGCCCACTTCCCGCTGCGGTGATGTCATCACTGGGGCATGCCACCTCATGGGCAGAGGGGGTGGAGGCTTTGCCAGGGGACAGGAACCAGGCCTGGGGTGCATGTTACCACATGGTTTTTGGGGGGGTGGAGACTTCCTGTGGCAGCCAATGGGAGCTCAGGAGGAATTGCCCCCCCCCAACTACCTCCTGGGGCTTTGCCAGGGCAGGGGGCAGGAGCCAGGCCTGAGGGGTGTGGAGCCCTTATTATTTTAATGATGTCATCACTGAGGCTTGTGACCTCACAGCCCATGTCTCTGAGGGGACAGAGACTTCCCTGTGGCAGCCAGTCGGAGCACAGGGCCCTGCCCCAGGGCTGTCTTGGGGGTGGGGGGCAGGAACCAGGTCCCCTATCACTGTAGTGACATCATCAGTGGAGCTTGTGACCTCATGGCCTGCATCTCCAAGGGTGTGGAGACTTCCCCATGGCAGCCAATCAAAGCCCAGCTGCCCCCAGGGGCACATGGGGCAGCAGCCAGGCTGGGGAGGCTGCCCTGTTGCTGCCCCCCTCACCCCCTTTCTAACTACCCCGCAGTACGGCGCGGACGTGACGGCGCGGGACGGGCTGGGGCGCACGGCGCTGTACTACGCC